GAAAAATTTGATCGGGCAACTGCATAGCGGGAGAAATCAGAGTGATTTCCCGATTTCTTAAACTTTTTATAACACCTCGACTTCACGTTTTTTAACCTCATCAGTTCCTTTGAGAACCAGGGAGGCCTATCAGGCCTCGCTGGGTAATCAAGAGGAACGCAGACATCAAAAATCGAGTACAAGGTGTCATAAAAAAGTTTCAAGGCGACATCAATGTCTGCACAATTGTACAGTTGTTATCTATATTATTCATGGACTTGAACTTGAGCCCCTACGACAATGGGCCACTCTTATATGGCAGATGGGCCGCAAAATTCCTGGAACTCAAATTGATGCCTCTTTTGGCGTTTGACAGTGTCCTGGAAATGCGAGCAGCGACAGCAGCAAAACAAACCACCCGGCAAATAGGGAAGCTTTTGACTTGGAGAGCTTATTGAATCGAGTTATTGGGCGTAATAAATAGGCAAATGATAGGATGGTAAACACATGTTGTTGCTGCCAACAGGAACTGAGCTGACCAATGCGGCGTATACTTAATATAATTGTGGGGGTCGCTGTCCCAGAGGCAAATGTAATTTCCTGCAAGACCAGCAGCCAGATATTTACTGCCGAAGCTGCTAAAGAGGACATTAATAATATTATTAAACAAAGCAAAAGTCACACACACACACACACCTCACCAGTGTGAAGTGTGAAGCGCAATCACTTGTGAATTTTAGGTGTGGGCGCCCATCAGTCAGCAGAGGCAGCTCCAAAGGAACATGGACCAAGGAGCAGGGAGCAGGGAGCAGGGACTTACGGGCTCTGCGTTTGTCAGACTGGCGGCAGCTTATGAATTATTTATGGCTCGGTTTATTTGGTTTTTGCGCTTATTAAAATGCGAAATCGAAAGAATTGCACGCTGTGACAGGCATAAATTTCAGTTGGGAATCAATTGAAAAGTTCAATATAAGAATCGAGGCAAAATTTTCAATGTGAATGAACGAAGACCATAAAGAGCTTAAGCAAAAAAGACAGAAAAAAATAAATTGAAATGAATTTTTCTTAATAATTACGTGTGGGAAAAGTGATTTTATTGACAGCTAATCTATATAAAGTCGCTTGAGAACTGGACACAAAGTTGGCAGATCGAACCACATGCAGACAAAACATACGAATTTAAAAAGCATTAAATTCGTCACAATACAATATTAAATAAAAAGTAGCACAATTGATTTTCTAGACATTAAATACATTCATTTTCTTTATAATTGTCGATGAAGATAAAACATTTCAATTTAAATAGCTCTAAAATTGCCACAATATAATTTTAAAATAAAAGGAAGCATAAATGATTTTCTAGACATTTGATTAATTTTCTTTATAATCAGTGAGCACGAAGTTTGAGAAGAGAGGAGAGAAGCATACCTGTTTTTCTAGGCATTATAATAATAATCCTCCCACCTCCAATTGCCGCAATTGAAATTTTATAAAATTCTGATGAAAAACAATAAGCTCAAACAATTCTGAAGGGTGTGCTTGTTTGTGTGTGTGTGTGTGTGTGTGTGTGTGTGTTACCATATTAATGACATATTGACAGGCGAGCAAAAAATCTGTACAGCCACGCCCTCCACGGACACACGCCCACTAAATCAGTTGACAGTTGATAGAAGTTAGCTAATTATCCGTCCAGCCTGGCAACCGACCACGCGGCACGCCCCATCAAAATTTCAGGCACAACGGGGCGTATGAGTAATATTTGTATTAAAAATCTCTTATGCAATGGGCAACGGGCGGGTTCAATAGAACCGTGCGTTGGAAGGGGAAGTTTATTGAACCGTCACGTGACCGCACAAAGCAAGAGGGTTCATTTATTTACAGCCATTTGTTTTATTTTTACGAGTCATAAAACACTATAAACAACAACTGACATTAACCTTGAAAACTATTTGCGCAAGTGTCGGCCCGAATATATCAATAAGTCGATTCGAACAATCGGACGGAACAATCGCCCGTTAAATGAACCAACTTGTTTGCTTAACTGATTGCGAAAAGCTCGCACTAAAAATAGAAAACACAGTTAATGAAAAACTCTAGCATATTTTTTGGCAGCGTTTTCAAATGGAAATCGTTACGTAAAACAAGTTCTTCATTGCATTTCCACTTTTTTGTAATTACGTGCAGCTCTTGAAATTGATATAGAAAAACGATTTACATTTTTACATGCATTATGCATACATTTTACCAAGCTTAACAAGGATTTTCGCCGCTCCCTTTTCAAGGTCCCTGCGGGCGGAATTGATTTTGACATATGATTTTTCCTAATGATGCATAAAATCTTGGAAAAAATGTTGTTTTTAAAGCTAGTTTGCTCGGATCGAATTGCCAAAACTTTAAACATATAAATATTCTTCCTCTATAAATATTTTTAAATAAAAAGGTTCATCATATATAAATATTACTTAATTAAGAACTTAACAGTAATTGTAACATAAATATAAAATACCTATGCAACATTTGGGGCTTACCTTAAATACTTTAAGCAAGTACTTTTTAAAAGTCTTGTATTAAGTCTTGTATTAAGACGTTTTAAAGTTAAGCAACAATTCGTTAAGTTCGAATTTCGTTCGGAGTTTATTAAATGTTGAACTTGATTCGAGTAACGAATTCCTGTCCTTTTCTCCTTCTGCATAAAGCAGGATGTGGCTGGCATATTAAACATTCTCTCTGACTACATTCTATTAAGTACTACGTACTATAATTTATCTGCTTTGTATAGCACACAAATAGGTCATATGGAGGCAAGTGCTGTACAACAAACCCGCAAAGCGCATTTTACTGTTTTGACTCACGAAACAAACAAAATATTATTATGACCAAACATAAAAATGCGACAGTAAAACAAAAAGAAGAGAAGCACAGCTCGGCAGATACCCCCCAACTATACAAAATGTATATATAAATATAATATATATATATATATATATATATGGGATGCCAGCAGGGGTCTTGTTGTTGTAGTTTTTCTTTTCTTGAGGTCATTTGTCAAGACGAAACACAAAAATGAGAAGCAATAACTTTACCAACTCCAAAGTTGAACTTGACAAGTTTGGAGAATGTCGAGTGAAGATATTATTAAAGAAGTTTAATGCTTGAGAAACCAATTAAAGTGGTTTAAGAAGAAAAGACAAAATGCGACTACAATATACCCTGTACTTATAAACAGAAGGAGAGGCTATACCAGAAAGCGTGCTTTAATCGGAATGTCTCGATTAGATGAGGTTCCAATATCGGGGAGAATGGGGAAAGGGTTAAATATTTGTAATATTCTAACAACCAAGTTTGATATAAATGTTGAGCTATGCTTTAAAAAAAACTTCCATTATTCGATATTTATCAATATTAGAAAATGGTAGAAATGGTCAAAAAAAAAAATAAGCTACAAATGGACATGGCAAGATCGACTCAGCGCATCTTCCTGATAAAAAATATATATATATTATACCCATTTTTAATGGGTATAGGGTATACAGTATATTTTGAAGATATTATAATTATAAAACAACTGTCTCTCTTTGTTAGCCCCTGCACCTTTGTTATCTTTGTTCACACTCGGCTTTTATGACTCCCTTGTTACCTGTACTTTGCCTTTTTAAAGGGTATGCGCGGCGTGCAAATGGGTAATTAAGTATTTACAGCTGATTAAATGGTTATTCGGGCCCAGCGCAGCTGAGGAAACAAACAAAATTCTGACAAACGTAAAAAAAAACGGAATGTACAACGCGGCGTATGCGTAATGCGAATATATTCAGTATTCAGCGTTGTGCGACCCATTAAGGCGACCTGATTCCCAGCCGGCCAAGGACGCGGCAGCTGCCGGCAGCCTGTGGCAGCCGGTGGCCGCCTTTTCGAACAAGTAGCCGCGGTCCGTGCCCAACTTTGGTCCTTTGAATTGCAATCATATCAATGATAAGGCAAGTGTGTGTCCGTGTGTGTGCCTTGAATTGATATGTAGTTGCCTCCGTGGGGCGCTGGGTTTTAAATTACTTGAGTAGCGCTATAAATAGAGATGTTCCAAAGAGCAGATGCGTAGCTATGGGCCGCCCTGTGCCCTGGCCCGGCGCCAATGCAATTTATATTCATTATTTTGGTATCCGAGCGGCTGCACCGCGACTGAAGCTAAAGCTGTAGCCTCGGGGCTCCAAGTCGCTAGGCAACAGATTCCCAGACCGATGCGACGGGCTGGACCTCCCACTCAAGCGGTTGCAGCCACTCGGATGCCAGTCTAGGATGCTTAGCAACAGGCTCAACAAATGCACTCGAGTCGAGAATGGCCAGCACTTGAGATAATCATGGGAGGGTCCTTAATGGCCATTGTGTGTGGAAAGTAGTTGACATATTTGTGGACAATGTGGGGTTAAGGCCAATTGGCAGAGTTGCGCGGTGCAATCATATTTGCGGTTAAGTTAAATTTGAGGTTAAACTGAATTTGAGTAAATCTAAATTTGAGGTTAATCCGTGTTTGAGGTTACGTAATTTGAGGTTAGGTTAATGTTAAGCTCAGGCTGAATTTGCATTAAAAAGGAATAAATTTGCACTGAAGTCGCTGTAAGCAAATTTGAGGTTAAGTTTAAGTTGAGGTTAAACTGAATTTGGGCAAATCTAAACTTAAGGTTAATCCGAGTTGAGGTTACGTAATTTGAGGTTAGGTTAATTTAAAGCTTAGGCTGAAGCTAATTTGAGGTTAATCTAATTTTAATTAAACCTTTATTTAAGGTTAAGCTTAATTTGACGTTAAATTAAATTAAGTTGAAGTACGTCTTCTTTTGGGGCATGTAAAGATTTGATTTGAGGCTAAGCCGAATTAAACTAGTAATAAATATTAAATGAAGGTGAATTTTGCCACGCTTTTGCGTAGAGTTTAAAGTTAGTTAATTACCTTCAGATTTGAATAATTGTGTGGACATATACTCATTCCCCATTTTCCCAACTGTCAACTTTCCACAGGCTGAATCACCTTTACTCCCGCTGAAGGAAAACGAGCCGACGTCCACGGCCACGCCCACGCCCACCAGAGCCCAAACTAACGCACCAGCACAGGCAAAAAATCCGCACATATCAGCAACCGCTCCACGTGGCCAGTATACCGCACTTGGCAACGAATCAGCCACTCCACACACACCCAGTTCCACGCCCAACGGGTGCCGACGTCGCAGCTCGCTGACCAACTCTCCGGCCTCGCCCTCGCCCACACCCACGCTTAACGTGCAGGAGGGGGAGCCCAACAACAACGAGGAGGAGTTCTACACGCCGCTGGACAGTCAGACGCCCGCCCATAAGCACACGCACGACTACAAACTCTATCCGCACGACACTTTCGCACGTCTCGAGGGGAAGCCACCGACGCCCAATATCAAAATGCAAAGCAAAGTGGATGCAGTGGGTCGCATTACCGGCCAGTGGGGCAAATGGCAGCTGCGCACAGTACTTTTAATTTTTCTGTGCAAAATACCCTCCTCCTGGTTCATGGCATGCATCATTTTTACGGCACCCGCGCCCCGGCATGGCGAATTCTTTTGCAAGCCGCCAGCAGAGATTGGCACCCAAAATCAGACGCAATGGATCAAGGTGTCTCATCCGCAAAAGGAGGAGAAGGAGGATCAGGAGTTCAGCATCGATTTCTGCAATATCTACGAGGATGCGCAGGAGCATGCGCATCACTACTACAAATACGAGGACAGTGCACAGGAGCCGCGCGTCTGGGAGAAGCCGCTCAATCGCAACTCGAATGTGATACCCTGCACGGAGTTTCAGCATGAGAGCGACTACCATTCGGTGGTCACGCAATACGATCTGGTCTGCTCGCGCGATATACTTGTCTCGGTGACGCAGTTCTTCCATCTGTTTGGCGTCCTCACGGGCGGCATTTTGGCCAATCACTTATTGAAATAGTAAGTCCAATTAGACCAATCAGAACTTACCGAAATCCAGCTCCAATTGTTCCCTTCCTCTCTCTCTCTCTCTGTGCCTTCCCGCATTAGCTTTAGTCCACGCAGCGTTATGCTCTTTGGCATGATCACACAAATCTTTTGTGGCAATCTGACTGGCCATGTGGCCTCCTATGAACTTCATGTATTCTTTAGATGCCTCTCCGCTGTCTGCTGCGCTCAGATGTACACCGCTGGCGGCATGATAAGTAAGTTCTTATTACACACACCTTTACGCAGTACACAATAAATTTAATCATCTCTTATATTCTAGTGTCCGACATTACGGGCGGCAAATATCGTACGTGCGTCTCGACGCTATTCGAGCAATTCTGGTCAATTGGCGTTATGATGCTGCCAGGCGTTGCCAGTTTTTGGTCCAGCTGGTCTCACCTCTATATGGCCATCTCCTGGCCCACAGTGATACTCATCTACCTGTGGCAGTAAGTAGCAAAGTCTTATTGTTCAATGGGAACTATCAACGCATACGCGATCTAAAGTAGCTGCAGTCTGTTTATTACAAGTGTTTTCTTTTATTAAACAAAACATATCACGATTAAAACAAATTTAATTGCACGTGCCAAACCGTAAAAACTGCGTATGCTGCCTGGGTGGCAACGCTGCGCAAGTGTGGTGAATTAAATGATAAAAACTAGTAAAAAAAAAAAATATAATAAACACAAAAGAAAAGTAAAAAAAATTTGCCAAAGGTTTTGATAATAAATTTTGAAAATTTATTTACAGATGGATACCCGACTCGCCGCGCTGGATGATTGAGCGCGGGCGTGTACAGGATGCCAAAAAGATATTGCTCCAGTGCGCCGAAATGAACGGAACCCGCCTCAGTCTGCCGCATGACATTGACCAGCAGCTGGAGCTGCAGGCACAAACGGCCATGGATGCGCCTCCACCGGCCGGCTGGTGGTCCATCTGGAAGGGTGAAAAAGCTAAACGGCACATGATCTGCGTGCATCTGGCCTGGTCGCTGTACATCAGCGTCTACTACGGCTGCCTGCTGAACATACGCTCCTTCAGTCGGGAGCACCTGTACATCAACACCTTTGTGGCCGGCTTCAGTGAGATGATTGGCACCTTTATTGGACTCTATTTGATAATGAACACCACACGGAAATGGCTCTGGGCGGGTATATTCAATATTGTGGCCGGCTGTTTTGCCTGGTGCTGCTGGCTGGTGCCCAAGCCGGGCGAGGTGTCGCTGGATGCGAACGTTGCGATGCTCATGTGCACGGCTATGGTATCCAAAATGGCCATTTCTACTTCACTTTCCATACTGACCACAAGCACCGTGGAATTGGTTAGCCAGGAGAAGCGTAAGATAACCTCCTTTTCGACGATTTGCTGGGCTCGGTTCTGGCTACTGGGTGCACCGTTCATTGGATCCACCGTTGTCATTGGCCAGCTAATACCGCAGACCTCCTACACCGCGCTGGCTGTCATTGGCGGCATTTGCATGTCCCTGATCAGCAGTCCACGCACACATCCCATCTCCAGGCCCTCCTCACCGGTTTCGCATGGCGCTCAGAACATGGCAACACAATTTACGGTCATCGATGGACTGGACAACAAAGGCTATGTGCCCAGTTCCAACTCCAATACCATCTACGCTACGAATACTTTTAGGAAGTTGACCACCCCTCAATCGAATCTACCTCCACAACTATTGCCCGGCATTTGGACGACCAAAATACACGAAGACGGGCCACCAATGTAATATAATACACAGCTGTACGTGCAGAAGGAGATTCGGGCGATCAAAAAGCCGTTTAAATTTCGCAAGTTTGAGGTTGCAATAATTGATTCGGATTTTGGTGGCGCTGTGAAGTGTACAAACGGACAGTCCAACAATTTGATATACTCTATAAACCAGTCTTTTGTGCTGTATACACATGATTTAATATCAAGATTTGTCTAGAATCGAACTTTTATAATGCACATACCCAAACTTTTTGCTATTTGTGTAAGCAAAGTTCAAGCGCTATTCGCCCTGTACAATACAACCGAGCACAATTTACAAGTGAACTCAATTTGAATGCTCAAAAGAAATAAGAAAAAAATGATTACTAATAATTATCTTAAATGTCAAAGATACATTTTTAAGTAGACAAACTTTTAAGCTTAAAGCTAAATACAATATTTCAATTAAATGAAAAGACGCTCGTAGGTAAAAACATACAGAATGAATAACTCTAAGTTTTAGCATATAATTTGCAAATAATTTTGATCAATCAAATAACGTAACGTATGCTGTTGGACACCGAAAAGACCATAGATATAGGGTCTAATATAGCTTCAGCATAGCCATATAATAGAAACGTAAGTTAGTAAGTCAAATGTGGAACATGCCGAGAGCAGCCCAGTATTAAACTTGTCCTCGATGAATCTGTAAAATATGTCTCAAATTCCACAATGTAGATACGTATTTAGTGTATAGCATTGTTTCCTATATAAACTTATATCAACCAACTGATGATAATATGTACTTAAAAAGTCCTCTTGAGTACCCTAAAGCTGTTCCACATTTAAGTGATTGTGTTGAAAACACCTGGAGAGAATTACATGAAAAGACATATTTAATAGTTACATTTAATTCTTTATTAATTAATTAAATCAATAATAATTTTAAAGCTACGTACACATTAAATTCAAAATACTTCATTACCATTATGTATTATCAAATGCAGCATAAAAAACAAAGCTTATTTTTATATATTTAATCACTTAGTCGCGTTTCAATTATTTAAGTAATTTATGTACCTAATTACTCAAAAAAAACGTACATATATTTTTAACAGAGTCATATTTAAATATTGAATGCGCCTCAAATCTCGTTGAATGTTATATGATTATGGTTACTATATGAAATGTAATGTTATTCATGGCAAAAAGAGCAATATTTTTTTAATAAAGCATACCAAAAAATTCTAATTAATTGTATTAGGGGCTAATTTTAAATTTAGCGCCTATAACGATTTTGCTATGCAACAGCTGTTTAACCGTTTGCAATTACGAAGTACATCAGGGGCCCAACTGTTGAGCCCGGTGAAAAATATATCGATAGCTGACCAAAAACATGCCTGTGCGGTTTCGTCATCGAAAATGTTAAATAACAGCTGAGCTCCTAAGGCACTGTTCTGCGTATGTTATCAAATGTTGAATAGCCTGATTAGCAGTCACTAAGCGGCTGTTAGATTTAAACTCAATCTTCGTTCAGCGATTTTCTAGGCGGAAGGCCGTTGATATATTAAATTGGACATGTGCTGTTATTATTTAAGTCATTTTTTCCAGTGTTACATAGATAAACTCACTCAAGCGGTATTTTATAGGCTACTCTAGGCTCGCTGTTAATAACAGCTTAGCAAAATGTTAATGTTACATAGTTGTGCTTCTTCTGCCCTGCGTCTGACTTTAAATTGTAGCGGCATTTTTTTTTACGCGTTGCGCTAAAACTAATTGTTATTGTTAAAATTTGCGTTAATTAGTGTTGTTTTTTTCGGGTAAACACACAAATCCCATGTCATGGAACTAAATGCAGCAGATGCCCCGGATGCCCAACTGAACGTGAGCCTCGGCAGCCGCAGCGTGTTAAAGGAGCTCAATACAAACGATGGCGGCGCAAAGGTAGGCCAAATAATTAATCAATCAGCGTTGCCGAAGCGTGTTACAGGCCCACCGGCGAGTGGGCGTGCCGTTAAAAACAAAATAAGACACAATTAGCATTCACTTTCTAATACAAAACATGAGCACATGCATATATATGTATGTGTATGTATGCATGCATGTATGAGTGTGTGTATGGGTATGTGCAGTGATCGCGCGTTCTGCACTTTTCTGCCTTCATTGGCAACTGCGTTGCTGGCTTTTGGTGATCGATGGGCTTCTCGCTGAACGCTCGCTGCAAACCAAAAATTTTGTCGCTGCTTTTCGCTGTTGTTGTTGTTGCTGCTGTGATTGTTGTGCTTGTTTCTCCCGATGCTTGTTTTTATACCCTAAAAAGTTGTTAGCAAGGGTATATTGTCAAGAACCTTTACTTTATATATATTCTTGATTAACAGCAGCATCCCAGTCGATCTTGCCGTGTTTGTTAACCAGTATTGGCAGGTCTGTTGCTGATTAGTGTTCAGAGTGCTTATTCAGCACTTTCAACAGATGATTCAGCTGCTTTTAGGAAGAGACAGTTCGCAACACTGCCAAGGACACAATTTTTCGTATGGAAAGGAATATTTGAATTATAATGCACCCCCCTCTTTATGAAGGCGTATTCCATAAGGGATTGCCTTGATTTGTGAGGTTCACGCATTCAAAGTTTTATTACTATCTAATAATAAACTCAAAAGGTATTTAAACAAATATTTTTCATAGTGTGTGGCTAAAGCAAGAAGAAGCACAACTTGCGGCGCGTGTGTACAGGGTCTCTATTAGTCTGGCAGCCCCTGTTACTTTTTATAATGGCTCGCTGCTGCCGCTGCTGGTGTTGCCTGTTGTTGACGTTCAGTGCGTTCTACAAGTCGTGGCGATCGGACGTTGACTAACGCGCAGTATATCTATATACCCACCCAAATGGGCAACAAGCCGGGCAAGCACTTGAAGTCCAGGGAGCCCGCATCGTTGGACCATTGGCCACCAAATGCGGTAGGCAAAGTGCGCAAATTCCGAATAGCGTATATATTCAATATACATATACATATGTATTTAATATACCCATTAATTGTGCCTGTTTCAACTGTAATTTGCCATCTGCACTTGACATGTTCAATTGTTTATGCCGGACGGCGTCCAGCGACCAGACGTGCCAAAAAAAAAAATATATATAAAAGAATATGTTTCCTGGCCACGTCAGAGTCTGCTTATAAGCAGCCTAGTCAAAAACATATTTGCTTTATGATATGTTCCTGGAAACTTAACTCGTTCCAGCTCTTGTCGGATTTTTTTATGACACTCGCACCGACAACTCTTCCCATCTCTTGCCACATTTTAGTGGCATCTTCGGCGCTTTTTGGGCTACTTTCCGGCATGGCAAAGTTCATTGACAAGTCGTCGACGTTGTCGCCTCCCCCACATGAAACGCTGCCGTCTGCATTTGTTTTTTGTCTATTTATAGTCTAGGTTCAAATTGCCTGCACTCTACCCTTCTTTACATCATCGTCTTGTTGTTGTCTTTGGCGTCCCCTTGGCTTGTTTGCCTATTGCATTTCGTTTTGTTTTGATACCCTTTACTTGCCTTTCAAATATGATATGTTGCTTTTTGATTAATTTCCCCCACAGCCTCCATATTAGAAGGTAGAGCCTTGAGATTTGGAATATACACAGAATTTAATACTATATTTATGCCCGGAAAATGTCATAACTATCCTACGATAGAGATTTAAGTTTTGTATGCTTAGGGTAAAAGAATATCTTCGAGGCCATATGCTGCGTTTCTGTTAACAGGGTATCCCCCAGTCGGTCACTCTCAACACGAGCGCTCTTGTCTTGTTTATAGTTTATGCCTTGACTGTGTCTGCCTGTGCCGCTGGCCAAATGCCGTCTAATGTTGCACTTAAATGCAATGCAGCTGCAACTGGGTAACTGCAACTGGGCAACTGTAACTGCAACTGTGAAATGGGAACTGCTTACTGGGCATGGTAGCTGCTATATCATATCTTGTCACCTGTCACGCATTGGCGGCACTTGCTTACTTCTCCCCGGCTCGTCATGGCTCATCGTCTGATATTTGGTTTCCCTCAAAATATGCAAAATCAGCAGCTGTTTGGGGCAGGTGGGGGCTATGTGGAGCACTTCCTCAAGTGCACGATGCGCAACAATGGTCGCTGCGGGATTGCATGTCTCTGGCTGTCACTTGGCATCCACATGGCGCATACAGGGTGCTGCCCCAGCTGAGCTCTAACAAACGTGGCTTTCTTTCATTAGCCCAAGCTGCATTGCCCTATTATTTCGCTCTTCTCGCTGTGCCTCTGTTCCTCTTCTCTTCTTATTTGTGGTTGCATTTTTTCGCTTTGCATTCTTTGGATTAGTTGGCGTCGGTTGCGCCTCCAAGACGGTCGCCTTGTGCTGCCCCACTCGCCCGTGCCAAGATCAATAAATTGGCTGCAGGTTCAATTAAGCGGCTTAAAGCAACTAATTAAATTGCATCTACGAAACACCCACACGACGCGAGTTCAATGACTATCGAACCAAATGCTTAACGATTTAAGCTTTTAAGGGTTAGACACAGATCTTGCAGTGATCAGCAGTCGGAGTGAGTGCGCCCATCCGCCGAGTGATAGTAAGTATAGAATAAAATCACTATAAGTGATCTCTAATAGCTGATCTACACTGTGTTAAAAATTGAAAACATTTGACGTGGGAGAAAGAATTCAAATTCAAATATTTCGAGCAGAAAGAGTTAGCTTAATTTGTTCAGTGATCGCAGTTAACTAAGATCATACAATATAGAATGTGATCATAGTCATATATATTGACTGCTTTTTTACTTAACAAAAAAAATCAATGAACCATACATAGTTAAGAAAGTGATCACCATGAGCAAATGTATTAGCATGCGTCTTTAATACAGCTGATTTTATCTACTTAAGATTAATATGTGATCATATTCTACTAAGATCGTAAATCTACCTACACACGATTAAAAGCCTGAACAAGCTGATCTTTGGCAGCTTCTTTGAAAGCAAAGTCCACTCGGTGATCTACATGTAATTAAAAAAGCAATTGAGAATTTTTTAGACATAAGGTGAATCTACAACTCTCTAGAACTGAACTCTAATAGCTTAAGATCAGTGATCTACACCGTATTAAAGAAACTTATACATTCGTTTTAATCACATTAGGAATATTTAAAAACTTTTGCAACGATCTTCATGTGAAGAAAGCGCCTAACATAGATCAGCGATCGTTACCAAGATCGTACAAAAGGCTGCAAAGTAGATCACAAAATTTAGCGACACTTTTAAAAATACTCAACCTTCTATGGATCATCAGAGATAAGACGATCGTGTGAGAGAGTGAGAGAGAGAGCGAGGGCGAATACTAGTACTAATAAAGAGAACCCCTTTTAGGGGTGCGCAGAGCCCAGACGTTGCGATCGTTTTGTGGATGTCATTCGAATAGACAGCGCTCTCCCTCGTCGCGCTCTTTCTCTCTCTCACACACACACACACACGCAAACACACACACGTTGCGGTCGCACGGCAAATTGAAACGAAAAATATTTTTAAATTGATTTCAAACAACGACACGAAACGTGGAAGTCAAGACAAACGCGAGCGGACAACGCGTAAAAATCGGATCTGTTATTCAATGATGAGTGCAGAAAAATCAAATATTTTTGAATGCCAACTGTCTGAGTAGCAGGCGCCGAGAGTAGAACTCTAAAATACAGATTTTACACAAGTTTAGCTAGAGATATATATATGTATATATATATATACAGGTTTATATGTATACATATAATACATAAAGTGGAAAAGACAAGCGCCAAAAGTTGTTTGTTTTCCCATTTGTGGCACGCGCAGTGAACCGTAGTCCGAACCGAAAAGAACGTGCAGCAAATCGTGCGTAAGAAAATACTTTCGAACAAATGGATTTCCTATCGAATCTCATAAAGCGACCCAACAGCATTGTGCTGCCAGAGGAAGCGTCCGCAGCCGTCCCCGCGCCCGAGCCCAGTTGCAATTCCAGTGCCCCAACAGCTGTGCCCAGCTCCAGTCACTCTTCATCCAGCCCCACCGCGTTCATCACATTAGCCATGGATCGCTGTTCCATTGACCCGGAACTGGACAATCTGTTTGATTCAGCTGCCCAGGATTTGGATAGCCTGGAGCGGCAGCACAAAGATTTGATCGAGCATGTGGATGCGCCAGTGCCATCTCCAGACGCCGTGCCCAAGTCACCGAACAGCACTAGGGAAACCATCAAACAGCTACTCAGTGAGATTAATTTCAATCTGGATCAAGTAACCGCACGTGAAATGGAACATTTACAGGCAATGAGCCTAGAGGTAGGTGTGGATTGTGAGTGGGGGTTAGTACGGGTTGGTTTTGAGTGGATTGTAAGTGGGAAATGTGTGCAATGTAGGTGGGAAATTGGTAGATCTTAGATGTGGACAGTGAGTGTGAATTGGGAATGGGTGGATTGATAAAAGGGGCTTCTGGGAATTGAGGTGCAATATAGAGCGGATTGTATGTGTAGGTAAACTCCAAATCTGCCTGAAATGTAGGTGGGAAATGTGTGGATCTTAGATGTGGATAGTGAGTGTGAATTGGGAATGGGTGGATTGATAAAAAGGGCTTATTTCAATTGGGAGTAAAGACTGAAAGTTAGTTGTAGGTTAGAGTTAGAGCGGATTTTAAATGTTTAGTCTGTTTAGATTGTAGTTGATCATTATGTGGATTTAGATGTCAACTTATTGCGTTTCAGAATAATTGTAGACTTGTGGATTATAGCAAATGCTATCTACCACAATTTGTCGCTTCTAGAAGCTACAGATATGTAAAGTATTTGACTTTGGCTGCACTTCTCGGTACTTCTATACACGATTAATTGCTTGTGGATTGTGTTTACTTCCAATTGCATTATAAAAATATAATTAATTTTCACCTTTTCTGGACAACAGGATCCACACGGTTCGCTAGATAAATTCCCATTAGTCCAATTTTGTTTCACACAAAACGCAATTTGTCATCGTGCCTAATGCTAATGCCCAGGCGCACCCCGTTTACAAATCACCTGCCCTGCTTCCCCTTGCCTCCCCTCCACTACGACCCGCTCCCGACTGACTTTAACCTTGCGGCTTGCAATTGCTCTAATTAAATTTCGCTTGCATTGACGACCTGCAAGGCCTTCCAACAGCGTCGCCTGCAATTGGCCGCCGACATCGCCACACGCCACAGATTTAATTCCTATTCAGATATTTATTTTTCATTTTTTGCAATTGCCAACAAGCAGACGCCGCCAGGCGACCCACTTACCCCGGTTGCGCCTCTCCTCTCCTAACCTCACCCTACCCCAATCCCCCACACAGGCACGATGTTTCGGGCTGCTTTTAAATTTAATGACATTTGCTTCTCGTTCGTGCCGGGCCGGGCAACTGACCGGGTTGACTGCGTCGTATGTGTGCTGTGTGAGAGTGTGTGTGCCTCAAACTGCCTCAAACTTGGTCAGTTGTGGCCAGCGTTATATGGTTTGCCTATAATATAGTTCTGATAGAATTCTGTGTCAATAGTATTCGTTCCTCAGAAGGTAACCTAATGCCAAATGCGTGTTTGAATGTCGTGGAACGCCAGCTTAATCTGTTATTTTTATTATTCTATAGTTATAATACATGGGGACTACATACATAGCTAGCTTTATGTGTGCTTTCTAATGTGTTCCACATATGCTTAACTGTGGTGGAACGTTGGGTAGATTTCACTTTTCCATACAACTTTTGGGTTCTGTACTAACATTAAATCGAAGATATTCTAAAACGTTCCACGTATGCGGAGCTATGCTGTAACATAAATTACTGTACTGTTCTGTTTTTTAAATACGTTCCACTATTGCATATTATATTGCTTTAGGTTATGATGAATGCATTCCACAAGGAACATATCGATAAATGATATTAAATTTGTGTAGCAGAGGTGGAAAACAATTGGCGTGTTGGATAAATTGGGTGTGGATTGTAAATAGGTTTCGCTCTAATTAGCATAGATTGTGGTGAATACCTTCCACAAGGGACATATCGATAAATGCTATTTCATATAAATTGGCTGTGGATTGTATTAAAGTTGAATAGGTTCCACCCCATGATGTCTTTTTAGGGTATTCACGAATTCAGGGTCTTCGTTTTGCCTCTTTTGCGTGATCGTTTCACCCGGATTGTGTCCTATTTTGGTCACCAGCTGTACCCTGCCGCGCCCCTGCGTCCAACTGGGACATGTCAGCGGTTCAACCGGGCAGCTGCTGCCGCCCATGTTTATGATGATCATGATGATGATGATGATCATTATTTTCGTAATTTTTAATTGGCTTTTGGCTTGTTTACGTTTCGGTTGCCAATTGTTTGGACTACGTTAGCTGCCCCGCTTAATTTATTTATTTTTCACAATTTTTCTTCATTTTTTTCGAAAGAGTCTCCCAAAGATTGTGTTTTGCATTTTTTTTTTTCATTTCACACGCGATGCGCAAAATGCTGAATATATTAATTTATGAATTATAATTTTAAGATTGACTATCTATTCGTTTTCTTTCTTTTATGCGCCGCTTGCAGCTAAGTCCGCTGGCTGTAAAGCCAGGTCCGGCCAGACACAGCTTGGAGCAGCAGAAGGCGCTGGTCGCGGCAATGCGTTCCACATCGCAGCCGAGCACGCCCCGGGATAAGGAGCAGCCGTTGCTTAAATTCACAGGTCTGCCCGAGTTCGATGAGACCCAAATACCAGAACTGGCGCCGCTCAGCGCCGAAATGGAAGGTGAGTCTGTTGACTAAACAAAGACGAACCTAATTTTCAACAAAGCCCATTTTCCCACAGCTCAACTGAAGGCGGATGCATGTGCTGGCGTGCTCAGCTCGACGACGCTTAAGCTGAGCGAGCACGAATACAACTCCGATTCGGATGTTTATGCCGAGTGCCTTTCCCTGAACAGCGGCAAGCTCTCGGCGGACCAGTCCGAGCTGGAGGCCTACTCGAGCGCCTTAAATGAGGTGTTGGAGCAGCAGCTGTCCAATGAGACGGCAACAACGCTCGAGAATACGCTGAGCGATGCGGCTCACAACGACAGCTGCGAGCCAATGGATGTCGATGATATAAATGAGACAATGGAATTGCTAAAGGATGTGCTCGCACCGGAGGATCGTCAGCTGCTGCAGCAGCAGTTGCTGGACGGTGCAATGCAGCAGCAAGAGGAGGCTCAGCAGCAGACACAGCAAAGGGAGATGCAGAAAGTGGAGGAACAACAGGAGCAATCCGTTCAAAAGGAGCAGTCCATGCAACAGGAGCAATCCTCAAAGCTGAAACAGTCCATGCAAAAGGAGCAGTCCATGCCGCAGGTGCAAGTCACGGTGCAAGCTACTGCTCCAATATCTCCACAGATGATCCAAATTGTGGACCTACCGCTGGAGCCACTACTGCCCACAGCTTCAGATCCAGACTCTACGCCGTTGCCCAAAATTGAGGATCATCTAACGCCGAATGCTCCGGCTGCGCTCTCACCACCATTGCCCACACACCAGAAGAAGCAAGATGTGCGCCAACCACTGGAGCAACCAGTTCCAGACTCTGCAGTTTCTGCCCCACTCTCCCCACCTGATCCCACATTACAGATGCCCCAAGAAGTTGCAGTCTCTATTACATTGCCCACACTGCAGACGCCACAATCTGTAGGGCAACTGCTGGAGCCGCTCATACCACAATCCGATGCAGCTCCAATATCTCCCATATTGCAGGCACCGCCAGTTGAGCTGCTGCCCACATCGCCGCCCATACCCACACATCGCATGAAGACACCCGAGGAGTTGGTGGAGCTGTTGGCCTTGCAGGCCTACGCCCAGCCACCTGAAGAGCCACAGCAGCAGGCAGACGTCATAGCGAGTGGAGCCAGGCAGGTCGAGGAATTGCAAGCGTCCCCGCCGAAGCCCGTGGCAACTGTGGCGCCCATATCTAAGCAGCCAAACCAGTTCACAGCACTGGGACTGAATATAAGTGATTCCTCTCAAGGTGACTGCTCTGGGCCGACATCACCCAGTTTCCCTATAAGATCACCTGCGGATTCACCGAGGCACTTTCCACGCTCACCGCATGCGCCGGCCGAGCAGGAGGAGATGCAATATCTGGAGCAGGCAACCATTGAGCCCGCCAACGAGCCTAAACTGTGCCTGAGCGGAGTCATAGCCAGGTCGCCGCTACCCATACAATTGACCGTGACGGGTGCCAGCCCAGAGGAGCCGCAGCAGCAGAGGGAACATCAGCTAAACACAACTGTGCCCCTCGCTGGCAATTCCCCACTCAACGGCACCTTTGAAAGCGCCAGTCCAGAGTCGATTGAGACAGCTGTACGCCCGTCGCGCGCCACCTTTGGCGTGCCGCTGGGTGCAGCCAACGGACAACAAAGACGCACCTTCTCGGTGAGCACGGATCGAGCAGAGGAACAGGCGGCCAAGCGGCTTAGCGATTCCCAAGCGTATGCTCGTCGCCAGGACGAAAATCAATTGAATGCCACCTATGGCACACCACTGCAAGAAGCTCAGGAGGGGCAGCAGCGGCGCACCTTTTCCGTAGAGGATCTGCACAAGGAGGAGGAGCAACAGCGCGGATTGGGACAAACTCAAATGCGACGCACTTTTTGCATGGTGCAGGACGCATCGCCGGCACTGGAGGCTACCGAGGAGAATATCATGGCTGATAATTTGGAGCCCATGGATGTGGATCAGTCGATGCAGTGCGTCGACAAGGTGTCGACAGCACAGCTGGGCGAGGCTCAAGCAGTTTCACTGCCGCCCACAGAACAGCAAGAGCACCAGCCGCAGCTGGAACAGCGATCTTCGCCGCCGCTTCCCGCCCAACTCAAGCGTCCGTCTATCCACGCAGATGTGCCGGCTAATGTCACCGTTATGCTCGAGGAGCAGAAGCTGTCTGTTAAGGAGCAGCTCAGTGGCAGCGATGAAAAGGAGGATGTCTATGTGGAACACTTCGGCGCCATGTCGCCCATTTCCGATGACATCTTCAAGCAGCCACAGTCCATCGGCAGCTTTGCCAGCTTGGCCAGGGGCAAGAAAGCCAGCGTAACCGATGAACAATTTCATGATGCAGAGTTCCAGGACGGAGCCAGCAACAACAACAGTAAGTAACGCCCTCTTACATACGCCCCTTCTATTTGCATTGCATCCGATTACTACAATTCCATTACAAACAGTTAGAGATGAGCGCGTGTCGTACTTTTTCAACACGAGCACGAAATCTAACCTTTTGTACATTTTTTGTTTTTTTTTTTTTTATTTGCGGCATTCGTTGAATAATATTTTATTCTATTTCTAATAATAATTTTAATAAAAATAATTTTTAATAATTCCCAGTTTCAAATTAACATTAACTTGATAGCTAGATTTCGTGCTCGTTTAACGTGACACGACACGCACCCAACTCTATATACAATACTCATTTAATAATCGTGCGCGTCCCTCACCACCACCACCACCACCCCCCCCCCCCCCTTCCTTTCGCATTCTCCATTAAAATCAACGTCTGCTATATTCGTGACCTTAGCTCATGAGCTGCCAGGGCGTGGGAGATGGGGTTGTTACCTCGGCTTTGGCATTTGAACTTGAAATGTGGGCACAAGCCAGGGCCGAGGATAGTTCATTTGCATGTGCCACCCGCTTGCCTAGACTGTGTCTAACTGTAAAAATAAATCTCCACATGCAAGGCAATGAACCTGAACTTCAATACCACAACATAACGGCACACAAACAGGAAAGGAAGCAACAACAACAACAACAATGCGACGTCAATTAAGCGCATAATTTGGCATAATTTGGCTGCCGCGCAGCTGTCTGCATGTTATTATTGTGTTTGTTGCTTTGTTGTTGTTGCTTTGAATGCATTTTAATGCAGCCGATGTACTTCGAAAATGCCGCATTGCCCCTTTGCACATACACACACACACACGTGCGGAGTCAAATTGGGTGCACGTTTTGTTGTGCGCCCTCACTTACGCTCCCAATCTGACAGCACTTTTGGTCTCTCAGTTTTACTCTCTCGCTCTCTGCGCACTCGAACCCTTATCAGTATGCCGTAATAGCCGCAACAAAATAAACGCAAATGTCTCCGTTGTGACGTCACGCTGCCCAATTGATAAACTGTGGCTTGTCCATTTGTCTGACTGCCTCCGCGTGTATGTGTGTGCCCCCGATGAGCGCATTTGTATTTTTGGATTATTAACGTAAGGCGTTGCCTAATTGGAAAATTGCTCATGTATGCAAAATAAGTTCTTTTGATGACTCGACCACTGCACGCTTTACACTTCAATTAATTTGCCATTAATGAATTAATTTTTAAACTTACCGCAATTATCGTTATCGTTGCCTAAACAAATGCAGCTCTGTATGCCAATACAAATCAGATAAGTGCATATCGATAGAACTGCCTCTCGGTCATTTATAGCAGCAAGTCTAGTTGGTAGAGGGGGAGGCAACTACAGTAGAACCCAGCTAACAAAGAAAGCGTTTGAATCGAATAACCATGTTTTCTAAAAAAAAAAAATAATAGAATACTTTGCATTTGGTTAAAACAAATTTTTAAGTGAAACATTTGTTATACCCATTCATCATTATAGTCTCTTCATAGCGCATTGCACCCGTAGCTGGTCGTTGTCACTCTCCCACTCACACACCAAGCATGAGAATCTTGCATAGAACTTGCTCATGCACTTTTACTACGCTAGTGAGCAAGCAGCCCCAGAACCCACAACGTGTACACAACACCACTAACACATACACATTATTTTACTCTCATCATATGACGAGGCTCTCTCTTGGCGCTGGCGCATCGCACTTGCTCATTGCATACGCGTCACTGTCACACACTCCAGTCAGAATCCAACTTGAACTCGCGACTCTCCGCATACGCTCTCTGATTCAGTTCGTGTGTGCTGTGTGTAGGTGTGTGTGCGTGCGTGCGCTGGTTTTCTTATTGGCATCGGAGAAAAGTAAGCATATTAGCATTCCATTTCAGTTAGTTTTCAACTTTTGACGTTGTCGCTGCTGCCACAGCCACAGCCTCTGTCCGCGTCGCGTTGTCGCTAAACAACAACGTCTGCTCCTCTTCTTTTCGTGGAGTACTAGCAAACCAGCAAATGTAATTAAAAATGTTTAATATAAAACAAATATTTATTGTATTGGCTGAGTTAAGCATATGTTTGCGATATGTTTGCCTGGTGAAATTTGCGCAAATTCGCTCAAATACAAAGCAGCTGGTCACACAGCAACAACAACAACTTGCCCAGTTACACAAAAGTGTCAATGACAAAATGCGAAAGAAACAAAAAAAAAAAACAAAAAGAAGCATAAATTAATCCACAAGCTGAAGACGTAGACTGAAGTAAAAAGTTGTATTTTTTCCAATGAGAGCGAGAGCGTAAAAATTGATTGTGTGTGTGTGTGTGTAACTGTGCATGTGCTTTGGATTGTGTCTGTGTGTGCGAGTGGGTGCTGCGTGGTCACGGTTAACATTGAGTAGTTTAATAACTGTAAAAAATCTTGAAAATGCAAAAGTTGACAAGAAACAGACGGACAAGCAATTAAAACGCAGCACAGTGTAAAAATTTTTCGCGCGAGAGCTACTCTCACCAAGCTCTGACTCGCACGCGCTCTCACGCTCTTTCCTTTACCATTGTGTCTTGTCAATGCATCAGTTTGTCAATTGGTTCACGGTTCATAATAAAAAAAAAACGCAACCCACTTCGTGCCTTCCTACTATTGCATAAAATGACTCACAAATGGCAATTGCGGCTTTGGTTTTTGTTTTGTTCTCGATTTGTATTTGGAAAATATTATTTTTGTTTTGGTTTCCTTACGCCCTGCAGTTGAGTGACCCGCATTTTTATATGCCATGTATCTGTGTTTATCTGGGCCTGCCCGGGTTTCGGCGTTTTACTATTTTTAAAGCCGCTTCCATTTGACATTTGTTTATATTGCGCGCATGTTGGCCAAATAATGCGGCTTCTGTCCGACACACCTCGCCCAAGTAGGGCGGGGTAGGAGCAGTGTTGCGAATTCAGCTGTTTTCTGGCTAGTTTTGGACAATTTCAAAAGTCGTCAGCCGGAAACAGTTAAAATGCTTAAATATATTTAAGCAATTTCCGCTGCAAAAGCTGATTCAGCTATTTTTGGCTATTTTTAAGATTGGATCCAGCTGCGACTGTTGCCAACACTTGTTTGGAGATGCGCCTCTATAGGGTAGCGCCCAGTTTGAGTCATGCCGCAAGATATATAAATGTCGTCGTCGCCTTTTTCCTTACGCTTTTGTTTTCAAAGGTGAAGCACAATGAACAAGAGCGCATACAGATGCGTGCTGGGCATTAGGTCGCTACACCTGCACAGATATGTACATTGGCATATAGGAACAACATTTAAATACAAATTTAAAATGTGTATTGTTTCAAGTGCCGAATATTAAATACCTGGTGTTCATTCGCCAATTGCTCACATGCGATACTTATTTGCTCTAAAGCAGTTCTATTTACAATTTTCGGTTTGCAACTCTGATAGTAGCGCATTTCAAAGTCGCCTATGCCAAGCCCACCAACGCCAATCATTGTCATGTGCCCAGTTTCTATTGCTTTATCTATACATACATACACACATGAGTGAGTGCATAAGTATTAAAGAAATAACGTCATAAAATGCCAAATCTGATATTATTTAATAATATGTACTACATATATATTTCGAATTTGTCAACTAACTTTTGTGTTTATCTCTTTTTCATTCAACAACAACAAAATGCACGCGCATGCACTCGTATCTCAAATACACACACACGCACACATTCATAACTGCCACAAACACACACACGCAAACACACACAGTTATACTCAATTCATCAGATTTTGACTATTTGTACACAAAAGGCAGCAACAATGCGCCCATCGATCGGAGCTCATTACTATTGAAATTTGATCCGCTTCTGGGTGCTCCGGTGCCAGTGAATCAGTCGCAGCAGCATCAGCAGCAGCAGGAGCAGGCGCTCCTCAACATACTCAGCACCAACAACAACAACAATTTAACACGTGCATTGAGTCCCACATTGGAGGAGCACGAGACCAGCGGCAGCAATCAGTCGCTTACATTCGAACCCTGTGCCAAAGGAGCAGCAGCTGCAGCTCAAAAGGAGTTTAAACCGCCAGTGGATAGAACAAGAGTGAGTTGTGAATGCCGACTGTGGATAACGAGCTAATAATAATATTAAATCTTATCCACAGAAGCATGCAAAAATGAGTGTGGATGTTATAGATAACGATTGCAACAAAACCTTCGATAATTCAAAGTAGGTAGCGCTGTAAAACCTTGTGGAACGTATATGTAATTAAATTTTCTTGTATTTCGCAGCCTGAACTCGGAGGATAAAACACACAAATACAACAACATGGATGAACTGGAGAAAAAAATCAAAAATGAAGTGTAAGTGAAAGTGGATTCCGATATGTGGAACGTATTGAAAACTGTTAATGAAATATTTACATGTAGCACCCGCTCCGAGGACATTGAAAAGAAACTTAAAGATGCCGAACAACGCGAAGAGGCGCTGGTCAAACGGATTACAGAAAAGGACAAAACAAACGCGAAACTCAAGTGGGTCTCCATAAATAAATAATAATTCACTTTGAATCCACTCACTAAACTCACAATCCACAGCGGCGTCATTGAGGCCTACGAGAAAGCCATTGCAGAGCTCATCCATGATAAGGAGCAGCTGGTACAAAACCATGAAAGGCAAATGCAGGAAGTTCAAACAGATCGTGATTCGAATTATCATCACTTAACGTCGCTGGAAACCACATTCTCCGATCTCCATGTGTAAGAAGATGCACCACGAAAACTCTTGTCATTATTTTTATGCTAATTGAAATCTACTTGGTTTTAGCAAATATGAAAAGAGCAAGGAGATGACCTCACAGCTAAAGCAGATCGAGGAGAATCTGCTGGAGGAAAAGAAAAAATTAATGGACAAATTGCGACAGCAAGAGCAGCGATATGAGCAAATGAAAAGCCATGCCATGCAGCAAATGGAAATGTATGAAAGTTCTCCATATTTAAATCAATTCGCAAGCTCACAATTTTGTTTCTTTACAGTGCCAACAAAAAGTTGGCCACCCTTACAAAAGAGCACACGGATGAGGTGAAAAAATTGAAAGCTTTACTCAAAAAGGAGGAAGTCTCGCGCATCTCGACGGCTGAGCAGCTGCAACAAAAGTCACGGGAGAATGCGGATCTGCTCAAGATATGCGAGGAGCTAATCTATGATAAGGGACAAGGTGGTAGTAGTTAAACTTCAACCCGAGTGGATTATTTTTGCGGCCTGAATGTATTTTCTATATATATTTTACGCTGTAAACGCGCACACACACATACTCTCACTCACACTCAAACTCAACATCCACACAAAGACACACATTATGGCATGTGGAACGCATGTTTGTCGCATGTTCATTCACTCAATCGCGTACTATCTCATTACATTTTGTAATTTTTGTTGTGTGCTCTAATGAATTGTTTGAGAACCTCATATTAAATCTCAATTCTTAAGCTGTCGTCTTGTTAAATGAAGGACTTCGCGCCCAACACTATGCCTAACTATCCATATATATGTATTGTACTATTTCTAGATTTTTAGTTAACACAAAACAACAACAACAACACCAACATGCCGAGCTGCAAATGAGTTCCACACACACGTTGAGATCCACACACTCGCCTTACTGGGTCCTCCTCCCCTCCTCAAAATGTTACTTATTTCTGTCGAATCTGCCTTTTGTTTAAGTTCAATGATATTAATAATGCGTTATATTTGTCTGAAAATTCAATCCAATTTTCATGCCAAATACCAGTTGATAATTTTCCCCACACATAAACACACACACACAAACACACACATTGAATTGTTTGTTGTGTTTGATTAACAGCTGAAATTAATAAGGAAACCCTCAGCAAAAAAAAAAACAAAAAATAAGAAACAAAAGAAATCAGCGCACGCTTGAGGCGCGCCTTTATTAAATGTCTAAGTTTAAAATTAGTTTAATTTAAATTAAAAATTTTTAATAACTGTATTAAGCATAAAATTCTGTATTACATAATAGTACTAAAAGCAAAAGCATAGAAAAAACCGAAACGAATCATTAAAAAAAACATACACAAAAAACTATTTATGCATTAAAAAAAAAAGCTAAAAACAAATATGTAACTTTTTGTTTTAATTATACAGCTTTATACTAGTTTTCATTTGCTATGCACTGAAAGTGTTCGCCTTAGAAAAGAAATAGTTAAATTTAAAGAACCCCCCAAAACCCCCTTCCCTCCCAACTCTCTCCTCAAACACACACAAAATTTCGAGCAATTTTATAGCAAGCTTTGTAGAGAGTACACCGCCACTGAGAACTATAAATGAATTTTACTTCCATTTGTAACATTTATTAAGCTGTAAGAACTTGACAAAAACTATAAAAAAAAAATATAACGAAAAGTTGTTAAAACACAAAAAAAAAAGAATTGTATACAAAAATTTGTACCCAGTCCATGTAATCGAATATTATGCTAACTACACCACACATATATAACGGTATACATATACTATATATTTTTCTAAAGTTGTAGCAGTCAAAACACGCGCGCTTTAAACAAATGGAAAAAACCTTAAGAAACGCAAATCAGTTTTGTTGTTTGAGATTTAATAATGAGATGGAAATGATATATATCAATGCGCTGTAAAAAAACACACATAATAAATAGTATTAAAACATGCAGAGACAGACAAGTATATGTGCTGTGGCATGTGCATGTAAAGGTGATGAACAAGTTGCATAATTCAATAAATAAAAAAATATGTACGAGTAATCGCAAATGCATTTCAATTTAAATATTTTAACAGTTCGCTAAACTGTCGTTCGCAGAGGCTGGCAACGCTGCCAGAAGCTCTGAAGCGGTCTGGCAGCCAGTTGCGTTCTCGCTCGCGCTCTTGATATCAAAGCTAACGTATAGTTATCAAAAAAGCGAACTAATCAAAAACTTATTAAGAGCTTTAATTTTAGTGTGCCTCGAGCGTTGACTATTTCGGCGGCAAAGTTGTAACAAAATCTGAAGCAGATGACCGAGCAGTTAGCGCAGCTGTTGCCGATAACACGGTGTGGCAACGCCGCCAGCAGCTGAACAGCGATCTTGCGCTCTCGCTCTTATCAAAGCGATCCCCGAGAAAACAAGGCAATAAGACAAATCAAAATAAAAGCTGCGGCAGATGCGCATTTAAAGCCTAACAAGTGCTTACATAATTGAATCAGCAGCTCTCGCGTGCCATGAATTTCGCCGGCAAAGTTGTGCTAATAACAGGCGCTAGTTCCGGCATAGGAGCCGCCACAGCTGTCAAATTCGCCAAATACGGCGCTTGCCTGGCGCTCAACGGACGCAATGTGGAGAATCTGAAGCAGGTGGCCGAGCAGTGTAAAGCAGCTGGTGCCGCACCAGCTCTGGTTGTGGGCGACATCAGCAAGGAGGCGGACACGGCGCGTGTGTGGAGCGAAACGCTGCAGCAATACGGCAAACTGGATGTGCTGGTCAACAATGCGGGCATCATTGAGACGGGCAGCATTGAGAACACCAGCCTGGAGCAATACGATCGCGTGATGAACACCAATCTGCGTGCCATCTATCATTTGACCATGCTTGCCACTCCGGAGCTGGTCAAGACCAAGGGCAACATTGTCAATGTGTCCAGCGTGAACGGCATACGCTCATTTCCCGGCGTGCTGGCCTACAACATTTCGAAAATGGGCGTGGATCAGTTTACGCGCTGCGTGGCCCTCGAGTTGGCGGCCAAGGGCGTGCGTGCAAATTGCGTTAATCCCGGCGTTACGGTTACGAATCTACACAAGCGCGGCGGCATGGACGAGGCAACATATCAGAAGTTCCTGGAGCACTCGAAAACCACACATGCCTTAGGCCGACCCGGCACCACAGAGGAGGTGGCCAATGCCATTACGTTTCTGGCCAGCGATTTGGCCAGCTTCACCACGGGCCTCAGCCTGGCTGTGGACGGCGGCCGCCATGCCATGTGCCCGCGTTAACCACAACCAAGCCTGACCAAAGATAACTAAATGCATTTATTTTGTGCCTTTTGAAATAAAGATTGTGTTATATATAGGAAATGCTTTCCCTAGCCAGTCATAATCCTTTCAGAAAGATAATATTCTTGATTAGGCGCGGATTACAGATAAAGACTGTCAGGCCCTCATCCAACTCCAACAGACAGTTCCAAGGAATAACAAAGATCCTAACCAGGAACGTGTTTCAAACGAGATGTATATTATTCTCTCAACTATATAATTGAATATACTGGAACTCATATGTACATAATATTTTTTTTTTTCCATCTTAACGCGGGCACATGGCATGACGACCGCCATCCACAGCCAAATTGACGCCCGTTGTGAAGCTGGCATCGTTGCTAGCGAGGAATGCAATTGCTGCCGCCACCTCCTGCACATCGCCGGGTCGGCCCAGTGCATGCGTTTCCTTGGCGCGCTCTAGGAACTTGGCATAGGTTGGCTCATCCAGGCCGCCACGTTTTTGCAGTTCCGTAATAATTACGCCCGGGTTCACTGAGTTGACCCGCACACCCTTGTCAGCCAGTTCCAGAGCCACGCAGCGCGTAAACTGATCCACGGCGGCCTTGGACACATTATAGGCCAACACGCCGGCAAAGGAGCGTATGCCATTCACGCTGGACACATTGACAATGCTGCCCTTTGTCTTGACCAGCTCCGGGGTGGCCAGTATGGTCAGTTGGTAGAGCGCACGCACATTGGTGTTCATCACGCGATCGTATTGCTCCAGGCTGGTGTTCTCAATGCTGCCCATCTCAAGGATACCCGCATTGTTGACCAGCACATCCAGTTTGCCGTATTGCTTGAGGGTGGCAGCCAAGATTTGCTCCACATCCGCCTCCTTGTCCATGTCGGCTTGCAGCTGCAGCGCCGGCGCGCCGCCTGCAGCCAGAATATTATCCGCTGTTTCCTTCAATTTGTCTACATTGCGACCCACAATTACCAGCAGTCCGCCCAGGCTGGCCAGGTGCACGGCAGTAGCTGCACCTATGCCAGAGCTGGCGCCTGTCACGATAATCACCTTATCTTTGAAATTGGGCATGTTTGTAATGCGTCTGCCTTCTACGTCGGCTCAACTACTTGTGATATCTCTGTTTGACATTGAAGTTGACAGCAGCGCGCAAAGTGGCCAAGTCGATAACACGACCAATCGATAACGGGCCTGTTGCTTTTGTTGCGGTCAGTGCTGCGAAACATCGACTAGCAAAAATAGCTAGATATGGCGGATTAATGACAACTAGCTAACACTTCTTTCATTCTCCCCTTTTTTTTTTGATAACTTATGACCAAGTATAGAGCAGACAAATATATATTATCTTATACCAAACCAACCCAAAACCATTTTAAAAATTTTTTCGAGCTTTAAAGAATTTCATTTCAGAAAATAGCTAAATTGGCAACACTCAAAGTTGTGAAATTCAAATTGGGAATAATCCAATGGCAAATAAAATCGATAACACTCACTTTTGGTGCTGCTGGCGATCTCTCGAAGTTGTGAAATTTGAATCGTGATTAAAGTCGCTAATTGAGCTGTTTATCACGGTTATTGTTTATTTTTCATTAAATGCCAACAGTGCCCATACACAGATTTGCGTTTGTTTTTTATTTTTTAGCGCGGGCACATAGCATGCCGGCCGCCATCCACAGCCAGATTGACGCCCGTTGTGAAACTAGCCGCATCGCTGGCTAGAAAAGCAATCGCTTTCGCCACCTCCTCCACATCGCCGGCACGACCCAGGGCATGTGTGGTCTTTGAGTGTTCCAGGAACTGTTGATAGGTAGCCTCGTCCATGCCGCCACGCTTATGTATTTCGGTTACAATCACGCCCGGGTTCACAGAGTTAACGCGCACACCCTTGGACGCCAGCTCCAGAGCGACGCAGCGCGTAAATTGATCCACGGCTGACTTAGACACATTATAGGCCAGTACGCCGGGAAAAGAACGTATGCCATTCACGCTGGACACATTGACAATGCTGCCCTTGGTCTTGACCAGCTCTGGGGTGGCCAGCATGGTCAGTTGGTAGAGCGCACGCACATTGGTGTTCATCACACGGTCGTATTGGGCCAGAGATGTTGACTCAATGGTGCCTCGCTCCAGTATGCCTGCATTGTTGATCAGCACATCGATGCGTCCATACTTGGCCAGAGATGCTGCGACAATGCGCTCTACATCCGCCTCCTTGTCCATGTCAGCTTTCAGCTGCAGCGCAGCAACGCCGCCAGCAGCCAGAATATTATCCGCTGTTTCCTTTAATTTCGCCTCATTGCGACCCACAATTACCAGCAGTCCACCCAGGCTGGCCAGATGGACGGCGGCAGCTGCTCCTATGCCGGAGCTGGCGCCTGTTACGATAATTACTTTGTCCTTGAAGCTTGCCATGGCCAGATGCGAAACACAAAATGTGAGCCGAAATGATCGATTACGATAACTTTAACTGGAAAAAACGATAACAGCATCGAAGCACAGCTGCTGCAGCAAAAGTTTTCTCCGATCAGCTGTGCAATGCTTTCCAGTTGACACACTGCACGTCCTTGAATACCCTATATACCCTGTATTAAACAAACTGCAGGGGCTTTTTAAACTTAGATGTTGTTTTATTATCTTTTTAAAAAAACCGCTACGATTATGCTGCTCGTATTGTTGTTGTGTGGTCGGGCACTGCTTAAGCCTCGTATCCGTAGGATTTGATGATCTTGTTGAAGGGCTCAGCAGCCTTGGCAATGTTCTCGCGCGCCTTCGCCGTCAACTTCTTCATCTCTCTGTTGTGCTTGAGGGTGACATGCAGCTTGGCCTTGCGCTTGCGCTCCAAGCTCTTGATCACATCCTGATAATGCCAGCCCACCTCGTGCGACAGACGTCCAACCATGCAGTATTTGCGACCAGAGCGCAGGGTCAGCACACGCATTGCAATGGGGACAACAACACGACGGCGCTTGTCGTAGGGCGATGGAATACCATCAAAGACACGCAGACGAGCGAGGGCGGCCTGGCCACGCTTGGTCTTGTGTGGGATCATGCCTGGAAGGCAATAAAATACCGTTAAGTGAACATTTCAAATAAGATTAGATATATAGAGGTAATCCAGTTGGCTGATCAGTCGAAGGTTTGTTACACGATTTCTCGTTCAAATAATGTAGGTAAGAATATATTAATCATCATGGTAGCAGTTGCAGCTGACCAAAACAAGCTAGATAAACGTACCTGCAATGTAAAATAACAACAATTAGTAAATGCATACAGCTAAGTTAAATTTTAAAAGCTATTCGCTTTGTTGCCTGCACTCAGTTATGTTTTGTTTACATGGTTTTCTCTACGTTCAAATAATGTAGGTAATAAGGTTTGTACATCATGGTAAACAACAAACTAGGGGCTGGACAGAGCAATTCGTAGATACGCACCTCGCACAGCCTTGTAGAAGATTCTGGACGGGGCACGGAAGTGGAAGGGACCACGAGCCGGGTTCACGTTGCAGCGTTTGCGCAAATAGGCCAAAAACTTAATTTTGTTTCTGTAGAAGTGACCAGAAAGGTTCAGCTCCTCGCAGCGGACCACAGCCACCTTGCCGCCCTGCAACAGGTACTTGGCAACCACGGAGGCCAGGCGGCCAAGCAAATGGCCGCGTCCATCAATAACAACGGTCTAAAAATTAAGTTGAAAAATAATTAGTTTAAGTTTAGTCCAAGAAATGAGGTTAGGTAGAGCGACAAGGTATAAACAAATGTGTGCAGCGCGAGAAAATACGCAATAATTGCATTTTGAGTATGCATTTGACACAATTAGCAGGCCTTGGACCAAATGCTTTTCACATGTATTATTACATTTTTGCAGGCACTTCCGCGCCTGCCATTTTTTTAGCTGCTTTTTGGCACGTGTACACGAAACACAGTTTTGGCGCACTAAAAACAACACTGCAGCGCTGTTAAAATCAACAATAATGCACATTTTCTGTTAGCACATGGTTTAATTAATGTTTTGCACACATTTGTTATATTGTCCCTTCACGCCAACATGGTTTTATTTGCCAAAATTATGGCACTTACCCTGTTCGTTAAACCAGTCATGTTTAAGAACCGCACGGAAAGAAAGCGGAAATCGCTTTGACAGCTCAGGCGTCACACGGCAGAGTTGCTTTGGACATGTGCACGCAGACAAATGCTAATTGCTACAGGAATGCTATCACGATACATTGACAATCGTATAAAATCGATTTTTACTCGTGTCGCGGTTAGGAATATTTGTGCGCTTTCTGTGTGCTGTCACACTGCTAAAAGATTTATTCTTAGGTGTATTTCTGACGGCGGTCAAAGCGGATCGTTTGCCACTTGCGGTGCCAATTTGTTTACACTAAAACTAAATGAAACGAACATATAAATAAATACGTATTGAAAACGTGCTGCTAAGCAGTGGCAATGCAAATGTAACGCGTGTGTGTGTTTGTGCAAAAAGTGTGTTAAGCACACAAAGATCCAAGTAAAGTGTTGTGTGTGTGTGTGTATGTGCCATGATTCTGCTTCTCGATTTGCCCCAAAAATCATAGCAACAAATAAGCAATAACGCAACGGGATCAACAGCAGCACCGACAGAGGCAGAGCGTCGACGTTTGTGTTGTCGACAGGAAAAAGTCAACACCTTATAAGGCAAGTTTATTTTATTATAATGTAATGGTTCGGGCCGGGGGCAGGTTGTGCATTGGCATACAAATTTTATTTGTGTTTGGATTTTCTAACGAACTAACATGCGAATGTGCATGTATGTGTGCCGACTTTGTTGCTTGGCATAATAATTAATTCTGGCCGTTTAATGCAATGCAATTCACAAAAATACATTGTTCATATATCCCTGTCTCGCTCACTCACACACACACACACTCCCTTGAGCCTGCCTGTCTTTTGACATTTTGCCTTTCCCCCTATTTTCAGAGGCGCAAGTTTTCATCCGTCTTGTGGTTAACTTTTTTTTATACCTTTTGCTAATTTTTAAATTGGGTCAATGCATGCGTCGGACGATTTACTTGTTTTTCTTTTCAGCGGTCTTCATATGTATTTTGTGTTTTTTGTTCGTTTGTTTTTGTTGCCGAACCAGTTTCTTAACCTTGTTTCCTCTCTCCAAGTGCAATTGCCGCTTGACTCTTGCTTTTTGACAATTTGAATGTTCTACTTTTTCACGACAAATTTCGGCGTATGGTTGTGTGTGTTTGTGTGTTTTTGGTTGCCAGTGGCAACTTAATAGGCGAACTCTCATAACGGTATTAATGAGATTTGCTGAATTATGTTTAGCCGACATGCAAAGGCCAATATAGAAAAAAAGAAATGAAATTTGTATTAATATTCTTTATGACTTCGATATGAAGAAATGCGTGTTCAGTTTTATCAGCACCTAGCAACGAGCACTCCTTTTTTGTTGCGACTTCCGCAGCCACAAAGGAAAATGACGACTCTCACATCTATACATACATATGAATATGTGTTTGCGGGTTTTGGGTGCAGAGTGCTTTTTATAGGATTTATAAAATTCCGATTAGAGTGTCACGGGTAAAGCAGAATCAAAAACTAAACAACAAACAGCTGTTCAGCGCAGTGCCAGTGCTGGCAAACGCTACAAATTGACGCGCTGCTGATCTACTGGCTAGAAACATGTGAAACAACAAGCTAAATTATTAAAATCTATAAATGTAAGTATTACAAATATTCATGTGTAAATGGTTTTTTTTATTTTGTTTCATATTGCAGATGTCCAACTTGAACTTCTATGAACTGCTCAATGCGAGCGCAACGGCAACATTTGAAGAGCTTAAGCGCAATTATAAGCAATTAATACTACAATGTCATCCCGATAAATTACAACAGCAACAACAACAAGACCAGGCAGTAACTGTAAACGCGATTGAGAGCGACCCAAATCGGGAGAGCGACAGCAATTTCAATGCGATAAACGAGGCCTGGAATACGCTTAAAGATCCCACAAAGCGTAAACAATATGATGCCGAATTATTGTTGACAAAATTTGAAACACACAGCAATATCTATGCCAGCATTACGTTAAGCGACATGCACAGAACTCGAATTGAAATGATGGAAGAGGAGGAGGGCAGCGAGCTGAGTGCAACCGACACAGACAAAGAGACGACAACATGGAGCTGGGCCTATGCGTACAATTGTCGCTGCGGCGGACAATACTTGTTGGATGATGAGTCACAAAGAGAGCAGCTGAGGGCAAGTGAAATGATTGTCGAGTGCAATGAATGTTCTCTAGTGATAATTGTGAAACCAGACGCAAATGTAACATAAATGGAATGTTTTCAAAATAAATTGTAAACCGCTTTTTTATCATGCCTTAAAACAATAACCATATTGATTTGAGCTATCGAATTAAGCGCTGATTTTGTCTTCGTTAATCGGTTTCTTGAACCTTGCGCCGCGCGACTTGTTTGATATGCATGCAAAACTGGTTGTATCGTGCATACTTAATGCCCTTCCTTTCTTTTCGCCTCTCTTGTTGTTTGACCAACACCAAATGATGTAATATTGTATCGTGCACACATACACACATACATAATTTGGATTGCAGTCACTGTCAACCATTTTTCATTTCCGTTGTGCAAAATAAATGTCTTTATTTTGGTGGTGGCTGTTTAATGCTGTTTATGTCTTTGACGCGTGTGAATTGTCTTTGGGTGTTATGTGGGTCACATTCAAATTGCCAAATGCGGCCATAAAATAATAGAAAGAAGAAGAAAGACTGCTGCTTCCCCCGATTATGCAAAAAGTGGTGGCCTATGCAGGTTAATGATTGTAAGCGGCGCCCACTAGGAAGCTGTTTTTTAGATACATTTAATTTAACAGCACTATAATGTATTATTTTTCAACGAGACTCAAAGTTTGTTGACTTTTGATGAAACCAATTTTCAAATTACCTTAAAACAGCTGAAGAAGCTCCCAGAAATGCCAAAAAAATAACTAAATCAATTATAAATGTATATGTTTCCGGCTGAGGACCTCTAAAAACAGCCTAATTTAGCTATAAGATAGCTGAGAATAACAGTGCTTCCAGTTAACCGTTACCTTAACGAAATCTCTTCAAAAAGTTGTTATGTACATAGTACACGCAGTTAATCGCCTTAAAAGTACATATATTTGTTGTACATACATACATATGTACAGGTAATTACTGTTGAGCATTATTCTTTCTTTTTTTTTTTTTGGTGGGGAGAGCGAAATTCAATAACCTCGCCTCGTTGTTGCCGGCTGGTGGCTGATCTGATGATGTCAGCGAGTGTAAAATTAACATACAAAAATACGAAATACAAATGTATAAACATTTGCCAGAAAACAACAGCAACAACAGCGAAAACAGACGCTGGCACAAGCTCATTGGAAATCCATTTGTTTATGATATTATTGCAAAGTAATTTGCATGGTGGTCTTTACTGTTGCCTTCCCTCTCGCGCACATTTAGTGCATAAGTGCGTGCGCTTTATTGATAATTAACGGTGTCTGAGCTTTCGTTTTCTATGCGCTGCGGACGCAGCTTGATAAAAGCAGCAGCTCGATTTCCAGCACATCAATTACGCCGGCTGACGTGGAAAACAAAAGCGGCTGAGCATGAACTAACACACACATATGCTTGTCGTTGACTATGTGTGCGTTTGACTGGCGCAAACTTTATCTCTTTAGCATCTCTCACTTTAGTAACCTTTTGACACACAAAAATTGAAACGCTTTAGCGCATTCAGTTCCTGCAAATGTCTTTCCTCTCGCGCTCGTTACGTGCTGTTGTTGTTGTGACACGCGCTACGATTTGAAAGATAGCGCTTGCTGCATGTACATATATACAATGGCCCACACACTATTACGAGGAACTTAACTCCAGCTCCAGCTCGCAAACCGTCTCCGTCTACCACTTTCATTTCGTTTTCACTGCGCATTAAAGACGCTCGAGCAGCTTTAATTGCTCAAGAAAATGGCAGAAGCAGACAAAATATAAAACACCGGCTGAAAATAACAGAAAAAAAAAAAACAACAACAACAGCGAAGAGTGCATGACACACGTTATGTGCGTGTGTGTGCGCGTCGGCTTTCGTAGAAAGCACAAGAAGTTTGTGGCGTGGAAAACTGTCGCTTTAGCCAGGCGACAACAGTTTGACAGACAGTCTGTCATTCAATCAAACATTAGCACAGTAAGCTGGTCAGCTTGAATGCAAGAATGTTAAAAGGGACAAACTAGTATTGTAAAGCTACAAAAAATTCTTTTTAAAACTTTGCAATACTTGAGAAAATACCCAGTGAAATATTTATTTTATTTCGCATAAATTATTTAACTGAAACTCAGCCCTTGGAGTGAATCACGCTGCGCTTTGTCGGCGCAGCTGAAGAATCATAATATTTATTGATTCAGCTGAATTGAAAGAGCTAAAGAAACAAACCGCAAAATGATATTCACGAGTCAATGATAAAAGCAAATGCAGCTCGCCCAGTGCCCCAATAGGTCTTTTCTGTCTTTTTCTTTTATTGTATTCTGCTTACAATCTTTCTTTTGTCTACGCTTTATGTCTTTCTTTCGATTTTAATTACACAAAAGTGCCAATTAATTGTTGCTTTTATTTCAAACTCTGCCCGGTTACCCCCGAGGCTATACAAACAGTAAAAAAAAAGTGTGCTGAGTCTCGCATATCGTATTGTGGTTCTGGCATTTACCCAGGTTCGTCTCGGGGGAATCTGTCGAATCGCATTTTTGAGGTGTTGTATGCGGATTGAGGTATTGTGTATTGTGCGTGGCCATGTGAAAAGATGGCAACAACTAGAGCAGATCGAGAACAACATTTAAATACAGTGAACGCTCTATTAACGGACAGCTACCTTGGATTTGGGACATTTCCTTTACTTTGGGCACAAAGATATCTTAAAATAAACGACAATTTGCAAAGAGTTTAACGTATTTAAAAACTCAGGGTTGGAGCCCAGAACATCTTTTAAGATATTTCTTATATGATCTATGAACCAATCTAACGTGTTTCTTCTTGCAGGCAAGCGCGTGTTTCACGCAAGAGAAAGGACGTCAATCTGGCTGGCAACGGTAGTGTCCAACCCATCAGCAGCGCCGGGATCAGCAACACCATTTGCAATAACCATAAATATAAGACTGAACGGCCGTCCGGGCAGCTAGCACAGAAGATGGCATCCACTGGAGAGATCTGGCTGCAGTGGTTCTCATGCTGTTTCCAGCAGCAGCGCTCACCCTCCCGCCGACCGCATCAACGCCTGCGCATCGATCGCTCGATGATCGGTAATCCCACAAATTTTGTCCACACCGGTCACATTGGATCCGCCGATGTGGAGCTATCCGCGAACCGCCTCAATGCGATCTCAACCCAAATGCAGAGCAAGGGCGGCTACGAGACAAACTCGATACACTCGCTGCACGTAAGTTGAATGGCTGGCGCGGGTGGAGCAGCAGTAGGAGGAGGAGATGGAGGGGTACTTTGATCGGTTGACTCATTAGAGCTGGTTTTATTTTCTGTTATTGTTCGGCGGGGCATATTTAATGTGCGATTCACGACGATCGCAATTCGAAACGTTAACATTTAGCACCTACCTAAGGTGACAACCACCGACTGGTGGTTGCGGTGGTTTTTATCAGCTCAAGGTGGAGCTAATCACAGCGTGGCATTCAATTTAATTGAAGCGTAATTCAAGCAAAACATCTTAAATCAACTTCAAGAGATTTCTATCAATTACAGACATTATATGTAAGGAAAATTAGAAAAGTTCTTCGCTTCTTTTGGCCGATAAGCAGCGGGTCAAGTTGTTAAGCTCGATAAAAACTTGTCGAAAAGGCAGACTGTCAAGCTAAGGGTTCAATGCACTTTGAGAGACAAAAACAACGTCAGGTGTGTGGTGTGTGTTTTCAAGATCCACACCCAGGTTTAGTACAAAATGTGCAATTAATTTTGTGGTATTAGTCGCATACTTTCATGCTATGCAACCATTTGCTTGGGCCCCGACCCTGATAAGATCTGCCTGCACCAGGTTCGCCCATGTCGCGGTTCTCGCTTATAAGTGCTAAACAATATCAAGTGCCCAGCCCCAGTCGGGGCTTCGTAGTTTGAGCTCTGGCCACGCTCTAGTACATCGCTTAAACAGCTGACAACAGCAACGATTAAACCTCTCATTTACAGTGGGAGCTGCCTTGAGCGAACACACGGGGTTACAGTTTGTATTTGGCACAGCTAAGGGGGAGCTTTAACTTAAAAGATATTTTGAAATTGGAAGAACACATAATTCAATTCAAATCCAGCAGCAATGTTCCAATTAATTTATGTTTCATGGGTTAAATGGGAATCAAATATGGTTATTGTTCGCTTATATAGCTTTCACTGTATGCACATGCATATATTATTTATTATTATAATATTGTTTTTTGCTTTGCAGGCCTGCTGATGAAGAACCCCCACACCCAATGGCCACTAAATGCATTTTGTGCAATTTTCTTCGTAACAACAACAAAAAAAAAAAGAGAAAAGAAAAAATTATAAAACAACAATTTTTTTTTTTGTAATAATTCTTTGTTAAACGCGAGCGTGTTATCAGGCAGGCGAGGGTGATAAACGGAGTAGCAGGAGGAGCAACCGGCTGGGTGGGTGCTGACGACGCCAGAGGCAACAGAAATGGGTTCCGCACACCAACAACAATAACAACAGTACCAGCAATCATGTGGAATACGAGAACGGACAATGGACTCCATGTGTACCAGCTACTATTTGCATTGACAGCGAGCGTATTAGCTATAAGTCGGTACTATCCATATATATAAACCAAGAACTGTCTAGACCTAACTCTGTAAACGCCCGATTGCAATTGTTTTGCCTTTTGCGAGTATTATATAGATGAAAAATCGCAAAAGTTCGCAGATCCAAAGTCGAGAGTATTTCGAAAACAAAATAACAGTTCAAAGTTAGTCCGAGGATTTTTATTATTTTTTTTATATTTTTATTTTGGTAATACATATTGTACTTAATGCCAAAACAGTTAAGATCATTGTGCAGTTTTTCCTATAGAGCGTGCACCATGCAACTGATGATAACATTTCCATTATATAGAACCCAGAGAACGGAACTGCCTTATTTCGAATTGCGTAATGCCACACAGATCCAGATGATAAATATGCACTCATATATATATATATATATATATAATTAATAACTGTCATGTAGTATATATATATATATCAACTGTTGTGCTAGTTATAACTGAACAAGCAATTTTACAAAGCTGATTTAGCATTTATATAATGTTATAAACTTTACAAAAAACTTAATGACAACAAATTGTCGCACAATCAATTTTTGAAATGATATACAAAAAACAAACCGTAAAATGTATAATTTATGATATTTATAAATTTCGAATATTTGTTTACAAAGCAAAAAGAAAAATATTGTAATTAATTTTTTAGATTTTTACAACCATATTTATAAATCCAGAATAACCAATGCAGAAATATAGTCTTTAATCTTTGGCAGTAGAACGTGTACCTTTATAAACCCCCCTCCCCCTCCCTTTAAAAAAAAAACTAAAAGCTAAATTCATAAATTAATCCAATGCAGTTGTAGATATAAATTGTATGACTAAGAAAAAACGATTGTAACAAATATAAAATTGGGTTGAAAGCGTCACAAGTTGACTGCGCCGTAGACTAATTGTATAAAAACAAAAGATATTTAAGCAATAATTTATGGAAAAATATATTTAGAAAAACAAACATTTGCAAGTGTATTTTTGTTGAATCGCTTGGATCTTATGTCTGTCATAGGAACTCTCGGAAAATGAGAACTTTTAAAGCTGACAAATCGCTCGATATGAGTCAATGTATGAAGAACCTTTATCCTTAGCAAAGGCATAAACTATAATCCCCGAACCCCAAAATATGAGCGATTGTACAAGGAACAGTTAGATTAAAAGCTGTGTTTTTACATGAAACACTTTTCTGCTTTTTGAAGACCTTTTGACAAAACATAACAATTACGATCTTTACAATTTCTATATATCAAAATCAAAAGAATATATCAGACAGGAACAAAAGTTTTCGTAGCATATCCCACACATTTGCTACGTGTTAAAGGGGTATTTAATATTCGACAAAAATTTTCTGCTAGTTTTTTAAGATGATTCCATTTATTTGCTTTACAGAACTTAGTTTAACCATGGGTAAAAACAACTTAAGCTTAGTCATATTGTGGATTCCCTAATACACTATTTTTATTAGTAGCTGTGGGCATATTGGTTTCCGATTGTATCAGCTAATCATCATTATCGCTGCCGCTGCCACTGCCGCTGCCGGAACCGCTGCCGCTGGCAGTGCCAGTTTTGCTGCCGCCGGATTTGCGGCTTTCATTGTCGCTGCCGCTGCCACTGCCGCTGCCGGCGTCGGCAGCGCGGTCGCCGCCGCTTTTACCGCTTCCCACATCGGATTCGCTGTCGGAATCGCGCAGCGCTTTGCTGGCCTTCGCCTTGTTGACCTTTTTGCTGCGTCGCGCCTCGAAATCGGAGCCCTCGTCCTCATCCGAGGAGTAAATGGTGGAGGCCTTCGGCTCCGCTTGAGTGCCGCTGGCGCCCTTCTTGTAGCGATTCTTGATGGCGCTCAGACTGATCGCATTCTCATCGTCGCTGCCATCGTCATGCTGATAGGAGGAGTTGCCGCCGCCGCCGATAAGCGGCTCGCCGGCGCCGGCCTTCTTCTTCTTGGGCTGCGCCTTGTGCTGGGTGCGCATGGCCAGGCGCAGCTTGGCCTCCTCCTCTTTCAGCTGCGAGTAACGATCCGTGGTGGGATCTTTGCCCACCTGTGTGAGAATCTTAATGCCGCTTGTCTTGGTCGAGCGATCCGCCAGCGACATGGTGATTTTTTTGTGTGTGAACGATTCCGTCGAATGCGGCCGGAAGGTTAGCTTGGTACGGAACACTGACTGACCCTGCAGACCAGTGCCCTGGCGTATAAACAAGTGATTGTGATCGCCTACGAGCGGCTGGCGGTACGCATCGAAGATCTCGTTGCCCAGATGCAGGCTCATGCTGCCGTCGGACCAGCGCACGAAGCGCGCATTGGACTCACGTACCATATCGCCTTTGTTGTTCATGTACTCGCGCCAGCGGATGGTGTTGCTCACCTTCAGCTTGATGCGCTGGCGACCCTCCTCGTCCATCGTTTCTTCTTCGTCGATTTCGTCCTCGTACGTCTCCGGATCGAAAGGATGCGTGACCACAGAAAGAAAATTGGGCAGCTTAATGAAGTGCTGTTCCTTGCCCAGATCGGCTGATATGCGCGGTATCTCCACGTCGATTCGCGTCTCCGGCAGCGGTTCTGGCTCATCCTCCTTGGGTACGGTTAACTGTGGCCCGGTGTCGCGTGAGCGCGAACGAGAACGACTGCGCGAGCGGCTCATGGAGCGGCTGCGTGAACGCGACTTGCTTAAGCTGCGGCTTCGTGAGCGCGCCAAGCTGCCCGCCGGAGACTTATGCGCCGTCTCCTCGTCATCACTGATGTCATCGGCATCCCCAAAGATGTCCGATGCGGCAGGCGCTTTCTTGGGCTGCAAATAGTTGGAATATAGTGAAATTTAGCTGCAGATGAAACACATGGAGCACAGTTTGGCTTACCGGCACATCCTCCTCGCTATCGGAGTCAATCAAGCGAGCCTTCTTTGCTTTCGAAGGCGCGGCTGTGTCGCTGTCACGTTTTTCGTTATCCGAATTGCTTTGACGGCGGGGCTTCTTCTTGGGTACGCCAATGTCACTGCCCGAGCCGGAGCCGCTCCGACTGCGCGATGTGCGAACCGAGCGCGGTGTGCCCGACTTGGAGCGTGAGCGTGGTGTGCCAGACTTGGAGCGGGAGCGGCTGCGGGAACGGGTCGGTGAACGGGACTTGGATCTGGAAGTGCGACTGCCGCTGCGGCTGCGACTGCGACTCTTGCTCTTTGAATTGGCGCGTTGGTCGTCAATTTGTAGATTCGGTGAGTTGGAGCGGGACTCTGCGTTGCCGCTGTGCTTGCTATGGGTGCTATGGGGAGTGCCACTGCAGGAACGTTGACTATGCACTGAACCACTGCGCTGGCTATGAGCCGAACCGGTGCGACGACTGCGCGCCGAACCGGAGCGCGAGCGTCGACTTGCCGCTGAGCCGCTGCGTGCGCTGTGTGGCGACCCTGAACCAGACCTTGATTGCGAGGATCTGGAGCCAGAACGCGAACGATCGCTGCCGCTGCCCGATTTACGACTGCGGGGCGAGCTGAACAGGTAATATATCAAAAATAATACCACAGTGATAGGCTGAATTGAGTTTTTAAAAACCTACCCCGGTGCGCTGCCGCCTTGTGGTGTGACGCTGCGACTGCGGCTTCCACTGCGACTGGAACCGGACCCAGAACCTGAAAAAAAGGCATTCAAGTACAGCCGACACAGCCAAATATTTTATGCACTTACCGCTCTCGTCATCTGAATTCGGATCGGCCATATTTTAATTTGATAATTTTGTTCAACAATCAAATGCCAATGGCAAAAATGCAAATTACAAGACTGGTGGCTCAGGCACGTGCAGACCAGCTATACGTATAATTAACTTATATGGAAACTTTAAAAAATTGAAACGAACAATCAAGTAGCACGCGTAAGTTCATTAACATACAACTAAATAAAAACCATATTATATTTTGTAATTGCCATATTTGTTAATAATGCGCCGTGCCTTGCACTCCTAAAACTTTCAATGCAACCATGCTGTTGCTTTTGTGAACGCTACTATCGATATTAACGCTTCATCGATAACCATCATCCGTCTCCGTCTTTTGTGTATTTGTATTCGTATGTGACGAGCCACAAAAGTTTTTTGCGGAACGTATTTTGTGTACATTTTAAGCGTTTTTCGAACGCTCAAAAATTGTTTATAGCATTGCAATTGTAAATAATAGGCATTTGTCTATTTTGAATTTAAGTGCGTTAAATTGTGCGCGGCGTAAAAGGTGCGCAAATCGCGAAGCGAATTTACCCCAAATTCGCGTTCGGGTGAAATTTCAATGAACTGAGAAAACAAAGACAGAGACATACACACTCACACACACATACTGTGGAAGCAGTGAAGAAAGAAGAAGCAGTGGCAACAGCGCAATAGCAAGCAATTATTTACTTACAAATAAAACCAACATATTATACATAAACCAAGGCAAAACAAGCCGAAAAAAGGCCAAACTCTGGAAAACAACAACAAAACGTGTTAATACCCTATGAACATTTTGCATTGGACGCCTCTGCATCGGCCAAAAATTGTGTAGTCCGCCGCTTTGCGCTGCAAGGCAAGGAGGAAAGCACATATAAAAAAAAAAAAACCTTCGGTACTCCTGCTCTCGGGCAGGCACGACGAAGTAAAGTACACCAACACACAGTTACCAATACAGCGCGTGTGTCCGTGCGTGCATATATATATATGCAATATATTTAGGGACGATACGGCGCGGAAAAATACCAACTAACCTCTCTCCGCACGTTGCGGCTACACTTTGCGCATCATCTCCGTCGTGTGGGTGCCTGTGTGCGTGCAAGCGTATATCCTGCGTGTGTGTGTGCCAGTGCCATTTATAACTGTAACGTTGAACCGAGTCGAGTGATCAAAACTAAGCATATTCAAGTTCAAAACTACAAGCGTCAGTTGGTGCAGCAGCTGACAAAACGCAAGAGCACTCGACGACTACAGCGGGGGCAGCGGCAGCGTCAGCAACAACAACGTCCCCGTCGCTTTGGAATGTTAAATGCGGTGAGAACAAAACATTCAGTGTATGTTGTTGTTGGTAACAGCAGTAGTCGGCAAACCGAAGCATTAACAGTGGCAGAAGAGGAAGAAGCAGCAGCATTATCATCCAACGTTCATTTAGGTAAGTATTGTAAACAACCGGCAGCCCTTCAGCCCTCACAGTTCCATCTAGTTGCTATTGGCTTAAGCTGGCTTTTTCATTTCAAGGCTACCCTGAACGCTAATTGGGCAATGTTGAATTCGCTGCAATTTGTTGTAAGCGAATTCAGTGTTGCAAAATATCCATTGGTCAGCTGATGAAGTTACATACATAGCGAACAAGCCCGTACGATCAGCATCAGCGAACCGACGCTGTAAAGCAATCGGGCAATCAGTCTAGCAAAGTCGAAGCAAACAAATATAAAAGAGCGTGTAGGAAAGGTGCTCGGAATACAGAAGGAACAATGCGATAAACAATAATCAGGGTAGAGGTGCAAGTGCAGCCAGAACTGCCGATAGAGCTAACAGCAGATCAGCAACACTCACACGAGCAGCATCGTCTATTGTGCGCGCTGCATACACGCTGCATACACGCACACAGTTACAAATTGATCGTCTATGTCAAGTGCATTGCGTATCCTTTTTCATTTGCTTTTTGTGCGGTCTTTTGTGTGCCATTACTCGTCTGGCTGGTTTTTAGACGGATGCGTGTGTGTGTGCGTGTATGTTTATGCACACACTAACACATGCTGTGTCCATTGATTTTTGTTGCTTTTTTGACAGCTGATGCCCGCGCGGCCATTTAATCGGAATTAGTATTGCAAAGTGAACGCCACTTTGTTTACCTGCTTTGTATTCAAATTCGCTGTGCTTTATATTATCGGCTACTTTAAGTTTTTAGCTGTTACAGCTTGATTACGACTGATTGTAGCTGTTGTCTGTAACTGTTACGTAAATTTTCCAGCGACCTTGGCTTTATCGAAGCC